ATATCTACTTAGCTAACAAAACATATAGTATCTATTGTGCTCCACGACCACAAAGCACTCTTTGTGGAGAATATAGTAATAAGCTGTCCCATTGTGCTGGAAACAAAGTTCAGAACAATTTACAAGCATTTCTTTCTCTGTAATCTAAACCACCCAGTCAGGGTTGGGGGTTAAGGGTGAGGAACAATTACCTAATTCCTCAAGAACCATATTTCAAATCAAAAGGGCTTATTTAGATTATGTTAATTTGTTTTACTTCAAAAATTTATTAGTGTAGCTACAATGTGGAAAACAAAGCTTTGGTAATGTTCCTTTGATAACTGACCAGTCATAACATGAATAAAATATATAAAGAATTAGCTGTTTGCCACTGATCTGAATTGTTACATGGCTGTTCTTTTTAGGTGAAAAATCAGTGAACACATGGTGTTTAATGACTATTGTGAAGCACAGCTCTAAGTGACTCCTGAGTGGAGACAAGTTCAGTAGTTTTCAACATGCTCTGTTGTCCATTCCTTCCTGAGAATCTCTACTTTTCTGCTTCTGCAAGCAATCTTTCAGTTGATGTGTTTTATGAAGACCTGATGTTTGGCCTACACTGAAGAAGTAAATTTAACATGATATAAATACAAAGAGACATTTTAACAGTTATTTTAAGTAAAAAGAATCCCTCCAACAAACTAAATCCTCTACTCTTTAATAAATGAAACCTTCAAAAGATACAACTTCTTTCTTAATGTAGAGATTAGCATTTAGTTTTCCCTTTAAAAGTAGGGTATCTTCTGCTTATACTGTCTTTGAACATTGATTTAATATAAATATTTGAGGAGTTGCTACCAAACTTGCTGATGACAGTAAATACTTCAAAGAGAGTCTGTTTTCCTCTTTTTGAGAAAAGAAATCTTATTTCATGCATTTTATGTCTTCATTTTATTTCACCCCACCCACTCCTCGATGAAGAGGATCTGATACCAAGAAAAACATCTGGTATGTATATTTATTGGAGATACACAGATCTTTACTTTGTATTTTGCATACAAAGTTATTCTATTTATCCTTCCAAATTCTCTCATATGTTTGTAAAGGGGCACACATAGTATATGTCAGCTAAATTCTGACGTTGAGGCCAAAAATCTGCTATTATATATGACACATGCAGAAATGTATCTAGCCCAAACTTGAGATTAGTAATCAGTAGTAAAATTTTCATCAGCACAGAATATCCTGCTTTCAAAGGTAACATAAATCTTCATGCTAGAAAGAAAATTTGACCTAAGCAGATATAAATTTATAAAAGGTTGAGGTTTCTTATTGAAGAAGCTGTTCTAAAGCTTAGAGAGAAAAAATAAGAGGGCTGTTATTAGGTATAAATATTTTCAGAAAAAAATCAGAATTAATTCTAGTACTTTGGACATGTCATTCCTAGATGTGATCAAGTAATTTTAAAAAACATTAATTTTAACTAATAATAAAACTGGAAGTAGAAATTAAGGTAAGCTCAATAAGCTGCTTAAATTAGAGAAAATATGGAGATCACTAAATGCTTTTAATAGATAAACAAAAATCAAAGTACTTGTTGATAGAGGAGATGATATATGTGATGGCTGTGCCATTCTTCTGAGTTTATCAAAGTGGGAATTAATCTGTCATTTTATATGAACTAATTCAGATTAACAAGTTATATTTATCCATTTGTAATTGTGCTTAAAACATTTATAATTATTGTTTATGTCTCATATTTTTTTAAAAGATTTTATTTATTTACTCATGAAAGACAGAGAGAGAGGCAGAGACACAGGTAGAGGGAGAAGCAGGCTCCATGCAGGGAGCCTGATGTGGGACTCGATACCAGGTCTCCAGGATCAGCCCCTCAGCCAAAGGCAAACGCTCAACCACTGAGCCACCCAGGCGTCCCTATGTATCATAATTTTTAATATTCGTAAAAATATTTATAAATAAGTAGCTATTACCTTTGGATCAAAGATGAGAAACTTAATGAGGGATTCAATACAAAATATCTGCCAAAATTAAGCTAGGCTAAGGTATGAATAAGTGCGATGATGATATATGATACCCATTTTATGGATGATAGAAGGTTTCTCTGGGGATAAATTAATATCATATTATGGGCAAGTGCATTTATATTAGAACCACAGATTACACAGATTATCTATTCAGTTTCCTCTAGTCTTGGAATTAAAAATCAATGGTATTATCATTCTGATAACATTGTTAAAATAAAACCATGTTTTGGGGATTTACCACTTTTAACTCTAATGCCACAGTTTTGTTACCATGTAGCTTTTGCTTTGGCTTTGTTCCACTATTATGGAGCATAATTATTATTGCTACTTTATACTGACCAATTTTTTTATGTACTCAATATTTTGCTTAATCTCTGCTAAAATATCATGGCATAGGGATTATGATCATTTCACAGATGAGGAAACATAAGTTCTGAAATTCAACCAACATGGTCAAGATTCCAAGACTGGTCAACAAGCTATCCATTTGATCCCAAAGTCACAGGGATCTCATTACAATCACGAAGAGAATCAGGTTGCAGTAGGAATGTGTTAGCAAAGAATTAATGTTTTATCACATCCCATAAACAAAATTAATTGAGATCTTAATAGTAGAGATTTTTTTTTAATGCCCCTATTGATTTTTGCTTAGAAGGTACCTGAGTGGCTCAGTCGCTTAAGTGACTCATTCCAGGTCATGATTCAGGCTCCTGGGATCCAGCCCTGAGTAGGGCTCAATGCTCAGGTGTGAGTCTGTTCCTCCCTCTCCTTTGGCCCCTCCACTTGCTCATGCTCTCTCTCTTAAATAAATAAAACTTCTTTAAAAAGAATTTTTTTGCTTAGAACTGAATGGAATAAATAGAAATTTACTACTAAAAGAAGACCAACTTTACCCAAAGAATTTCATATCCAACATCATACGAATGAGTTTCATATGAAATTCTCCATGCTGATAATCAAAGGAATTCACTATGGAAAAGAATAATGCGTAAGGAAGAGGAGGAGCATCTCATGTTTAGAGCCCACTGGGAGCTTCAGAAATGTGAAACAATGACTTCAAGTGTCAGATAATTCCCCCTATTCTTCAATTGGTTTTATTGGGTCAATATTCATGTCTCTAATTGTATAAGCACCAGTTTCTCACAAGTAAGAATCTGTGTGGGAATTAAAAATTATATTCAAGTTGGAAATATTATCACAATCTTGTCCTAGCACTGAGCACTACACATGGGCTTTTTGTAAAGGAAAACCCATTTTATTGTATTACATCAGCGTAAGGTCTGTGTAAACCCAATAGAAATTGATTCCAGTTTGGATTTAATATCAATGTCTTAATTTTGCTTTGCAATTTACAACTCACTAAGGGTCCCTATGTATATTATTTCACTTGAGTTTTCATAGGCAATGTCATTTCCACTTTACAGGAAAAGACAGTGTTGTTAAAAGTTTGCCAAGAATTTGTCTTTAGTGGCAGATCTCATGAGTTTTAGAAATGAGAGATTTAACCAATACTTTTTTTTATGTTTAACTTCAAACAGTTCTTTCTACTCCATAATGCTAAGTCACTTTAGTGATGACATGATCTTTAATGAGATTCCTCTGATGGCGGTTTGTTTGCTCAGTGAAAGTTAATGTTTATTCATTCTTGAATTTAATTGTTCAGTAAAACATACTGAGATTTTTTTATACCAAGTACTGTGCTAGTTCTAACAAAGGAGGAAGTGCATAATTTGGGGAGAAATGAGTGAATAGTGGATGAGAAACTTTGTGGTAGAAGAAAATCCTTTGGTATCTAATATCAACAAATAATTTACAAATAAAGATGTGAGAAATAATTGACATGAGTCCATTTAGCACTTTAAACCTGAATTTTGTGACAGATAAAATTTCACATTTTTTTCTAAAAGGAGAATAAATCCTTTAACTCAAAACAAACAAAAACAAAACAAACAAAACATATTTAACCAATATGTTAAACCAGAATTGTTCTGCTTGAAGGGGTGAGGAGAGTCTTGACTACTTGGCTTTCCCTTTTTACCTAGTTTTCCCTGGTGTTCATGCTCAGAATTCTGGAGAAAACGTTTCCCTAGTTGCTGCCAACCATGCATATATGATGTGTTTCTATATGCCTTTATATATTCTGTAATATCTTTGTTGGTGAGGGTTTAGGTCTGTTTTCAACAAAAGTTAGTAGCTAGGAGAGGAGGAGAATAACTGATCTGAGTTTTGACTCTTCTTTGAGCTTGATGAACTTGTTTGGCAATTGCTACATTCAATCAGTATAAGAAACTCATGATTAATGCAGAATGTTGCATTTAATACACATAAGTGGGAAAATGTTGACTTCTGCTGACCGTTTATAAATGACTTGAAGAAACAAAAATCAATGAAGAAATGAGGGATATATTTTATCCTGAGTTTGCTTTCATTATTTCACTCATCTGCTTTACTCTCAGTCTTCATGTTCTTTGAATAGTCACCTCTACCCTAAATAATTAATATCGTTCTTACCTACCTTTATCTCTTCATCTTAGCCTCCCAACCAAACATAGCTTCTGCCTGAAAGTATCCAGTGAGCATCAATTCTACCCCACTTAATCTTCAATGTCATATGTCTTTTTACTACTGCTTTTCTGTCTCTACTAGCTCTCATTTATTGAACACATATTATATTCCCAATTCAAGGCTAAACCCTTTATAGTCATTTGGATGCAATCTTCCCAACACTTCTTTGGAATAAGTCAGATTAGAACAGGGTACTTAAGCTTTTAGACTTTCATGACACCTAGTAGCGAATGAAGTACAGAGCTGGGATTAAGACTCAAATCCAATTGACTGTAAATTTCCAGCAGAGAGTATTGATTGCTTCCTATTTTCTGATTTCTTCTTCTATTAGTGGAGGCTTCATATGAGCAGCTATGTAGCAGCTTTCTTTGCTGCAAGAACAAGCCATAGACCTGTTACCACTTAGGGGACATGGCGGCACAACTTCTGTGCCATGACCACAAAGAGGAAGTGCTCTCCTCTATTGTTTTCTGTCTTGCCACGGGCTGGAATATGGTTATGGAGGAGGGAGCCTTCACAGCCCACTTGGCCTCAAGATCAAGGCTGGCAGGTTTAGGATGCAGAGCACTAAGTAGGAAGATCACTGGATCTTCAGCATCAAGTTGCTGGGGATGTATTCTTAGACCACTCACCTAGACTTACGAACTCTCTATTTTGGTGTCTCTCTCTCTTTTTTTTTTTTCCTTAAGATTTTATTTATGTATTCATGAGAGACACAGAGAGAGGGAGAGAGGCAGAGACACAGGCAGAGGGGGAAGCAGGCTCCATGCAGGGAGCCCGACGTGGGACTCGATCCCAGGGCCCCAAGATTATGCCCTGAGCTGAAGGTGCCCCTAAACCACTGAGCCACCCGGGCTGCCCTATTTTGGTGTTTCTTACTATAGTCCAACATTTATCCAGAATAACACAGAGGCCCATGCTCTAAGACTCATTTAGAAAGTTAAAAAAGCAGTATGAAACAGACAGCACTTAGTAGTCACCTTTAAAGGATCACAGAATGGTTTGAGCATGTTTAGATAGTTTTATGCAAAGAGAAAAGGAAGAAAAATAACCCAAACATGGGGGCATTTGTGATTACCAAGAGTAATGGCTTTTAGGGTGGTACTAGCAGTTTTAGTCTCAACAGGTGAGGAAGGGTTTAAGAAGCAACATGAAACATCCAAAGCAATTTTGATTCAAGGAATGAAGGTGGAATAGAGAGTATGAAGAGACTGGAGACAATCTGCCTAGAAATCAGAAGCAATTGGGAATAGTCAGAATGTAGTTTCAGAAATGGGATTAGGTGTGAAAAATCAGAAGATATTCTATACAGCACATTTTCTTTGAATCTGTTACATTGCTTCTGGGTTTATCACAATACGATTTATTTGTATTCCATTTCAGATGTAGTAAATTTTTAATGAATCTACTGACTACATTGTTCTTTATTTTCTTACCTATTAATAATTTGGTTAATTATTTCCTTTTTACATAAATATTAATAACTTTCTGCTTTCAATAGCTTAAAACTATCATATTTCTAATGAAACTCACTCTTCAATATTTAGCACTTTATTGTCCTTAAAATGCAACTATCTTCCATTAAAATTGATTATATTTGAGGGAGATTTATTATTTTGAAATCTCAAATAAGAAAATATTAAAACTAACGCACATTTAGTATCACCTACAATCAAGGAGAATCATACATTTTAATTTATGAGTTTTCTAATCCTATATCAGACATGATTCACCACCATTAAATGTACTCAAGAATCAAAAACATGATTGGAGTCTAACTGTAAAATACCTTAAAACTTGCTTTTGGAGGAAAGGGAATCTTACAAAGGGGGGGGGAAGCAAATTGTTATGATGGGCCATAGATTATACTACAAGGGTATAGGTAGACTGGGCATTCACTGAGGAGAAAGAATTTATTCATTAATAATAATTCACAGAATGAAATTTTGCTTCTTAAAGATTTCTGCTATGGTACTCTATGCTGTTTCCCTTATCATTTAAATAAAATATATATGAAACACAGTAACTCATAGTTATTTGGATTCTAAATAATTTTGAAGGGATGATATGTTACTGGAAACTATAATAATTTGGAGAGGTAAATGTGGTTGAATAGAATGCATAATTTAATTCAAATTGCTACCTTCCACTTGCTTTGTTTCTTTACTTTTGCCCTCAAATATTTAGAAGGAATGAATTTTAATGAAAATCCTTCAAAGTCTTCCCAACTTATTCAATATAATAACTAGTCATTATAAAAGATAGATTCTAGGCACAGTCTGGCTAAGAGGGGAAAGATCTTTCTGGTATAGGATCAATGGACCATATGCAGTGGGGTAGCAAATTTCATTTTCTAAAAATGACTGCATCAATATATAGCCCATCCCACATCCTATTTTTTTTTCAATGTGGTCTAAAGGCTCCTCTCCTCAGACGTAGAGTCTATGGTCTCTCTCTTTGAAATGAGGCAGGCCTTTCAAACTTCCTCAATGAATAGAATGAAGCAGGAGTGATGCTACTGACTTTAGAGGCTATATCTTAAATGGAAACACAGTTCCCATCCAGCTTTGCCTCCTTCCTGAGACATTTGCTACTATGTTGTGAAGCAGCAGAGGCCACATGGAGAGTCCACAGGTAGGCATTCTGGCTGACTGCACCAAATTGTCCTCCATTCTCCAGGCTTTAAGTCTTCAGCAGATATTCCAGGTATCATGTTCAAAAGAAATAATGAGAGATAGTAACTGATTACTATGGTTGCAAACCATCAAAAGTGTGGAATAATCGGTAAATGGCAACAGGTAACTAATGCATGTGGTAACTGGGCAGCCAGGACTATCAGTCATGGCTACCAATAGATTTTGAGGACACTTTGATTTTATCTGGTTTCAGAATGGCATTGATAACTCCATTCTGATAATGCACAAACAATGGATTTCTTAAAAGGTGTAGCTTCTTGAACAAACAAGCAAACTAAGAAACTAACCAAAGTAATCCTTAGATTGCTTGAAATACATGCAAGAGTTACTAAACCTAAAATGATTCTGAGGTTATTATTATGAAGTACAGTGAATGTTTTTGGCAAAATGTCAGATATCATTATATGTTCAATATAAGATTCTCCTTTAAGTTCAATAATTTCACTGAACACATCATCTGATTTTTTACTTTGATGTGTTTATATGTATTAGCCTTCAAAAAATCTCTTTCGGAAATATATAATCATACTGAACAAATTTGTTTTTCTCTAATTATTTTTCTAATTATTTCCATAATATGAGTCTGTAGATCTCGTTTTGAAATGAATTAAATCCTGTTGCAGGTACCAGATGGACAGAAGTGGTAGGTACAGTTCTGTTTTTAGGCTGAGAACAGATGTCGCACTGGGGGTGTGAATCACTCTCCTCCACACAGTCCTGTCTGAACATCCTGTGCAACTGTTCTGCTCTGGGGGATTCCCCACTGTGGCTTTTCACTGGGACTTCGAGGATAGACATCTATTTTAGCATTTAAGGACTTCTGATCCCCCAGGTACTAACATTAGGCCTCTGATTCATTTTTACATATGTTTATCTGCTCAAGGGCTGAGGAATAAGGGGCTGGTTTCCCTATATGCATTTTCTTTCCCCAATTGTGATAGGGGAATTTGAATTAAAGAGTCTCTGGTCTCAACCTGTTGAAATCCTCCTTTCTTTTTTACCATGGGACACAAAATGTGTTATATATTTTCTAATGAGACATATATATTTTATCTCACTGAATGTTAAAGATATTTTTTAAAAGTAAAGAATGTGTTTTTGATGGCTTAAAATAGTAATACCACTGGTGGGGTTGTGAGTAATTAATCTTTCCATTTTATAGATTCAAATTCTAGCATTTAACATACAAATTCCAACATTTAATACATTAATACTATTTTTTTCTTCTATTACCTGACAGATGGTGAACTGCCTTCTAAGGTGCATGGGTCCAGTGAACTGCTGATCTTTACTTATCTTCCAGGGGGATGTGAATTTGCACCTGAATTGAACTTTTAAGATCAATAATAGAGAGAAAAAACCACTGCAACTAATACCCTTTTCCGCTCACAAAGTATTCAGCCTTGCTTCTTAAGAAATGTTTAATAAATATTTAAAGAAAACCACTTTCAAGGCATGTCAAATTATTAGCCTTTCTCAGGTATCCATATCCTTAGTCTTCTTCTGTGGACTTCTGACAATACGTTTTGCTCTTGTAAATACTGCCACTGATCCTACTTCTTTTTTATTTTTTTTATTTTTTAATTTTTTTATAATAAATTTTTTTTTATTGGTGTTCAATTTGCCAACATGCAGAATAACACCCAGTGCTCATCCCATCAAGTGCCCCCTCAGTGCCCATCACCCATTCACCCCTACACCCCGCCCTCCTCCCCTTCCACCACCCCTAGTTCGTTTCCCAGAGTTAGGAGTCTTCATGTTCTGTCTCCCTTTCTGATATTTCCTACCCATTTCTTCTTCCTTCCCTTATATTCCCTTTCACTATTATTTATATTCCCCAAATGAATGAGACCATATAATGTTTGTCCTTCTCCGATTGACTTATTTCACTCAGCATAATACCCTCCAGTTCCATCCACATTGAAGCAAATGGTGGGTATTTGTCGTTTCTGATGGCTGAGTAATATTCCATTGTGTACATAAACCACATCTTCTTTATCCATTCATCTTTCGATGGACACCGAGGCTCCTTCCACAGTTTGGCTACTGTGGACATTGCTGCTAGAAACATCGGGGTGCAGGTGTCCCGGCGTTTCATTGCATCTGAATCTTTGGGGTAAATCCCTAACAGTGCAATTGCTGGGTCGTAGGGCAGGTCTATTTTTAGCTCTTTGAGGAACCTCCACACAGTTTTCCAGAGTGGCTGCACCAGTTCACATTCCCACCAACAGTGTAAGAGTGTTCCCTTTTCTCTGCATCCTCTCCAACATTTGTGGTTTCCTGCCTTGTTAATTTTCCCCATTCTCACTGGTGTGAGGTGGTATCTCATTGTGGTTTTGATTTGTATTTCCCTGATGGCAAGTGATGCAGAGCATTTTCTCATGTGCATGTTGGCCATGTCTATGTCTTCCTCTGTGAGATTTCTGTTCATGTCTTTTGTCCATTTCATGATTGGATTGTTTGTTTCTTTGGTGATCCTACTTCTTGAAATCATCTAAATTATTAATAGTAGTAGGTGGGACATAAATTGTAAATTAATAATGTTACAATATTGCATCAATATTACTTCTTCTGTTTGTTTTATTTATAGAAATTAGACTATCATTAAGGTCAATCTATCAACTCCTCTTTCATCAAGACCTTCAAAACTCTTTATATTGTGATTAAAATTAGTAGTTAAAATTACTCAAAGGAAAGTATAAAGTTAAAAAATCTCCAGAAAAGTTGATTGTTTCCTTACCTTTTCTGCTGTGCCTGGAACTTTCCTTAAAATGCATAAATGTTGCTAACCTTTAACAGAGTTTTTAAAGATATTGGTGCTTGTTATGGGTTGAGGCATAAAATGTCCTTGGAG